TGGAGAGCCTCCAAAAGCAGCTGAAACCGCAGGATTTTCCCATCCATAAACCACCCCCGCACCGTTTCATCCCTGCGAAAGCAATGAACCGAGCGATGCCATCCTGGGAAACCTTTTATTTCCACCTCCATCAACGACAGATACCCCCATTCCCAATAACAAACCACAATATTTCCAATGAAATGTATACAAAAGCAAGGGGCGGCCACAATCATTATAAAAGCACTGAGACAGACACAATAAATAAGTACAAATTGGGGTGACTCAGGCCCACAGGGCCCAGAGCTGCTATTTCACCTGAAATAGTCGGGGAGGACGTGGGTCCCAGCTTGGGGGGTTTGTACTTGGTACATACAGCCTGAAAACCAGCAACTGCCGGTTGGGTTGGGTGCAGGGGCTCCTCAGCGCCCGCTCAGCTCATAGGTGGCAATGTTGACCTGGTCGGGCTGGTTGGTGATGCCGACAGGCTGGCGGGGCTGCCGGGGGGGGCAGATGAACCAGCCGGGGGAGGGAGCCGACTCCAAGGCGGGGGGGGTCCAGCCGGTAGAAGATGAAGCGGGTCAGCTCCACGCTCTCAATGTCCTTCCTGATGTCAGCTTCCTACAGCCAGAGGGGTGAAACAGGATTCAGGGTGGGATTGAACCCCCAGCCCCACGGGGGATGGAGCCAGTAGGACCCCCCCACTCACCTCCAGCTGCAGCACGGGCTCAGCACCGCTCATCACGCACGACATGTAGAGTTGGTAGCCCTTGATGCCCAATGCCACTGGCACCCGCCCGGCCCCCGGGCCACCCTGCGATGACCGGGGACGGTACAGAGCAATGTTGAGCTTCACTGCAGAGAGAAGGGATGGGTCAATGGGTCGTCCCGGGGTTGTGGGATGGCTCCCTGGTTGTCCCAGGCTTGGGAAGAGGGACATTGGGTCAGGACCATGTCCCCTCACCTTTCTGCCTGGCAGACGGTCCCTGCAGGTGCAGGGCCACCAGCTGGGTGGGCGACTCCAGCACGAAGCACTTGTGGTCAATGTCGAGGATGTCAAAGGACTGGGAGCGGGTGTAGCGGTAGACAGGCGCCCCGGCGTAGCTGTCCTCAATCCGACGGAAAGAAATGGGCTCTGCAGGGACAAAGATAGTCAGGGGAGTGCTGATGCTCCCGGGTCCAAAAGCAAACCCCCAAGAGCATCCCCCCGCTGGGGTGACACCCCCGACACCACTTGCCCATACCGAAAATATCATCCAGGATGTCCCCAAGGTCACTGTCGCTGAAGTCCTTGTGCGCCGGCTGCTTCAGGAGCTTGGTCACAGCCACCACGAGGACAGCGGCCTGGCGAAAGGTCCTGGCAGGGTGTCCTTTGGTCACTGTCACCTGGATGCCCACCCCAGGAGGCGTCACCTCTGAGTCCAGATGAAGTTTCTGTGGAGGAAGGGGGATGTGGGGTGAGAGCCTGGCTTCACCACCCGCAGGGGTCTCACCATTCCTACCACCTCAGTGTTACCTTCTGTGCGCAGAGGCAGTCGGGGCCATAAAATGTCTCCTCATTCAGGCTAAAAGGCAAAGGAAGATGGTGAAGCCAGGGCCACCGTGGCACCAGGGCAGCATCACGTCCCCAGTGTCCTCTCCGGCATGGCCACACTTACCTGCTGCTCTCCAGTGTGTCCAAATCAGGGACGAATGCCATCGCCGCTGCTGACTGCAAAAACCTGGGCAGAGACCTGCTGGTACCTGTCGAGTAGCGCGGTACTTGGCTGCCTGCTCCTGCCTGTCCTGCCTGCAGTGTCGCTCGGGCACTCTCTGAGCCCAGCGTCAGTGCAGCGGGTTTTCAAGAGCCTCTGGAAGGAAGCACTGTCAGAGCGGGATTTCCACCTTTCGCAACGCCTGGGTTTGCCCAGTTCCTCTAGTGAGACCGGGAGGGCTGGGAGGGGGGCTGGCTGCCCCTTAGCAGTGCTGTGGGGCTGAGCGAGCGGCTGTGCGTGCAGCAGAGAAGGGGGCATGCTTTGGTGTTGGTGTGTGGGGCAGAGAGCAGGGGCGATGTTTGGGGTCAATGTGTGGGACCGGTGCTCCTGTGCCGGCCCGTGGCAGCTGGGCTGACACAACAGGGACTGCCCCAGACCCCTCCCACCAGGGCCGCGATGCAGTCCGCC